CACTTTCTCTTTTCTTGTAGTTTCGACCTCACTTTTATTTTTCCCCTCTTTCTTTTTCTTTTCTTGTATTTCAGCTTCACTCTCATTTTTCCATTTTCATAATCTTTGTCACCTCACCTTTTAACTACATTTGGTTTTTAGAGACCTATTTTGGTGTTAAAAGAACAAGAGTATCCATCTTCGATAAAAGATGTACATATTCTTCAACTCGTCATGGATCTCAGTTCTATCATACTGCCATGATCTCCCCAACAAAATATAGTCAACATGAATAGGAATCACATCACACATCACCTTATCACTATACCTCCCAATATTAAACCTCACCACGAATTGCTTGTTAACCTTGACCTTTGCATATTCATTTAACCGATGTTACTTATAAGCTCTTGGATTGGTACGACTCTTTCCATCTATAATCATATTACATATTCTATTTTTAACATAGCATTTAATATGAAAAATATCCTCTCTGCTGCTCCATGTCATCAGCTTTAATTTATGCACTAAGAGTACGCCTCGCAATAACGATATAATTTTTAAAGCTTGTTGACCTGATGGAAACTTTATGCAAAGCTCATTGCATCATTTTATCTGTCTATAGTCCTAAAATCATCTTACTTTTTTCCTGAACAAAAGTACGTCATTATGCTCATCATTATGCACTCTTTTATAATGTTATAGGCTTGGCCAAGACAAGTATCTGATCACTGAAGAGTTCATGGATACTTTGGCAGACGAACTCAAAGATCAACTTTCTTGTTAAGTTGATTACTTGATTCGTCATTAAACTTCACGTAAAATTTCCATAGGGTCACTGACCTTCAAAACTACCACATTAGTCATTGAATTTTGCAATTCATTACACCATCCCTCATTCAGTTTTTAAATTGCTAATGATGTATAGACGCTGAGTGAAAAATAAATTGCCATGTATCCAATTTCGTTATCCATGTTAGCAAATTCGTTAATAATTTTATTGTCCATTGAGTGAGTGATGGATGTGATAACGAATTACAAAGTTTAGTGATTAATGGGATAATTTTTAAAGTTCGATGATCTGGCAAAAGCTTTATGCAAAGTTTCGTGATGATTTGAGTAATTAACCCATTTTTTAATGGATACACTAACAAATATAGATATTGGGTGACTTTTGCAACGTTTGGGAGATTTAATTGGGTTTTGCTCTAAAATGAAAGATTATGAGGTGTTTTCAAAAATGGTAAACTTTAGGAAGTATTGCACCAATTACACAATATTTAAAATAAAATATGATAATTAAGAATTTCTTAAAAAGGTTAAACTGGAGATAAATGGTGAAGGGGCTCCTTCACCCTACCTTGCCTGTCCCCACTTAAGCAGGACAAGGCAAGGATGGGATGGGAAAATCCTCGATAGGGCGAGGACAGAAATGAGATTTTTGGGGCTCAAACCCACCCTGTTGTTATCCCTGAAAATCCAGTCAGTTATTAAAAATCTTTGACGGTTGAGAATGAACATATTCCACCATACAAGTATAATTATTTAGAATTAATAACAAACTTATGAATTTCATCAGGTCATGTCAAAACAACCTTCTTTCACGTCAATTTTGAGCAACATATTATGAGTTTTCGTATAAAATTTTTCTTTCACGTCCAACCTTCTTTCTTCAAAAATCAATTTACTTGTAAATTCTGATAAATTCAGTTTCTTTCCCATACATCAAAATAGGTTCGATGTCCTCATAAAAGGGAGAGACCAGATGGGTCTTAATGCTTTGTGCTTATAATCAATTTTGACTACAATGATCTCCAATTGAAAAACAATAACATTGTGAACAACCATTACGAACTATCAAAGATCTCACTAAGTTAAAAAATTGTTACCACTATATAGAATTTCACTAATAAAAACACCCAAGTATTTTAGGACAAATATTGCTATAAGTTTTACCACAACCAGAATTTTTAAATCTTGGAACAACTCACAAAGAGAACAAGAAAAATTAAGATGCTAAGCTAACAATATTTTTCTCCTAACACTCACTAGTCACAATCATGCAATCAAAAGAGAAAAACGTTTATGCATATACTAACAAATTAGCCTATTTTTCTCCAAAATGTTCAAGTGTACTGATTGAAGTGAACACTATTTGTACTAATTTTTTCCACCAAAGAGTCCAAATCCCAACACTAATACTAGCCCATGGCATACTTCTGAGTCCAACTCCTTGCAATGGCTTCATACTTCTTCTTGTCCATCATGTAAATGTGAGCAATCTCAGGCACCAAAGGATCATCAATGACTGGATCCGCCAACAATGCAGAAATAATAAGTAACACCTAAAATTGATAACCAAACAATTCAACTACATTAGACGTTTAACTTGAATTACCAAGCCAAAGCAATTGAAGGAGCAATTTATTCAGTGTAGAGGGGAAAAAAAAAAAATATCTTCTGGGAAATTGGATCCCTTACTGTAGCAACCAAATCAATAAGATTTCAAGTTTGTGCCCTCTTTGATTTCTACACTAGAATGTTCCTTCCATGTCGACATTAAAAATACACTAGACAAAATAAGTGAAGATTTTGCGAGATAGAACATGAAGATCAGTGATGGTGGAAGACAATGACTATGGCGTACCTAAGAATCCAATTCGTAAATAAATGAGAGAGAGAGAGAGAGAGAGAGAGAGAGAGAGAGAGAGAGAGAGAGAGAGAAGATTAGTGGTGGTGGAAGATTATAGTGTACCAAAGAATCCAAGAAAGAGAACTAAGTTGTCCTAATGTTATATAGGTATATTTTTTTCATAAAAAAGAGAAATAGATAAATATGTAGAGGCAATCTAGCTGAACACCAGTTAGTTTTAGGGGCGGACCCAGAAATTTTTTTAGTGCAAAAGATATCAGTAAAGGTAAAAGAAATAACAATAACATTACAACACAAACATTATGCTAAAAATTATTGTACTTTTCTTTAACCACTAACTAAGGTCATTACTTTTAATATTTACCAGAAGTTAATAATTTTTGTTCAGCCCATTTCTTCCATATTTGTGTAAATTGCCCAACAATAAACCAATACTACAAATGAGCAGCCACATAACAATTCAGAATCTCATTCCAACCCATTAAACATTGAAATCACACCAAACCCCACAGACATGATAAACCAAACACAACCTTTATTGGGTCCTATAAACACTTTTAGGTTTTTGGTTTTCCCTTTCTCCCTTTAGTTTTTCAATATGAGCAACAATGATAGCTTGAATATGGCAGATCTTGGTGCTGGTAAAAATATTTTTTCCAAAGTTCAGTGTAGGCAGTGCACTGGGCCTTCATTGGGTCTGTCCCTGGTTGGTTCACAATCACCATCTATTCCTTTGATGGAAGTTTTAGGGTGGGGAAAAGGATGTGAATTTGGAGAAAGATGTTCAATTGTTTTTGTTTAAATATAAATAAGTTACATTGGTAGAGGGATGAGGTTCAGTATATGAGAAGTTATTTTTTCAAATTAAAGAGAGTTTGCATGCTTATAAGTAAAGAATTTTGGGTTCGAAGAAAAAAAGTGAGTACTTATAATATTAAAGTATTCATTCATGTATGTGAAGGCAAAACCATTTTTTATCATAGAACTACGTCGTAGAAGAAGAGTGAAAATGAGACCAAGCAAACCAATCAGAATTGGGAAACATCCTTTTTCTTTTTCTTTTTCTTTTTCTTTTTTTTTTTCTTTTGGGTATGGTAACAAAAACGACCCCAATGGTCTAAAGGTGACCATCAATGCAATTGGAAGTGAGGTGTTGGACATCAATTTTCTAACTTATTTCATAATGGTAAGAGGCAGATATTAACAATGTTTCGGAACATTTTTGTTACTGCACTGTTAACAAATAAAGTTCAGACAAAAATACACAATGGCTAAAGATTGGACCTACATTTTTTCCACCGATATTAATAAGAAAGTCATTACAAAGCATTTTGAATTATTAAAACATGTACGAAATAATTGTGATTAACGGAGAAAATACATAACAATTTTAAAACGTCAATGTTTAATATAACTTAGGTCATGTCCCCACTGAGTTTTCTTTATGGCTCCTCCACACTACAATTGACAGTCATTCAACAAAAATCTAACTCGTTAATGGACAAATGGACAAAACCCTCCACCAGGTATCAAGGTGCTACAAACTAGTATGATTGTGGACTCAAGTGCCAAAGAAATAAAAGGGTGGTGGGGATCCAAATGCACAATTACAACATGTTAAGAAACCCCGATTGAATTTTCCCTTATTTTCAAAGCAAAAGGTTGAGTACATAGACAAATAAGGTGAACCAACACCAGAGAATTAGAAAACAAACCTTGGAAATGTTTAGGGCAGGACTGTAATCCCGAAGCATTGCAGGGCATATGGTCCCATTACTGTTTATATTTGGGTGGAAAACTTTTGTTCTAAAAGCAATCTGCAAAATTCATCGAAATGAAAACTTTCATTCTTTTAAAAATGAGCTATGCAAGATGTAACACTCAATATCAGAAATTACTGGGATAAACTACTTCAGTAGATAATGTTTATGTTTAAAATAGAAAGGAATGGAATTTCAAAATACAGTGTGATTAAAATTAGCCTTCCTCACCCACCTTAGGGGACTTCCAAGGGTAATCCTGCGGAAAATGGATGGTAAGTAGGAAAACTCCTCCAGCATATGGACTGTCAAGAGGACCAAAGATAGTAGCTTGCCAATGGAACAAGTCCCGGGCTACAGGACCTGAAATTTACGCGCAGTGAAAAAGCAAATAAGCAACACAAAAAACAAATGAAACTTATGGTGCACAGCAGGTGATTCCCAAAAGGTAAAACTAAAAAGTATACAAGTGAACATGGTTAAATAGATTTTCATAAAATGACTAAGCCATATCAATTTAAATACTCAACTGCAAAGGTATTCATGAAGGATAATCCAAGTTAATGATTATTTTTGTACTTTGGTGACAGTTTTCGAAGACTGAAAGCATGGTTGGAAGTGGCCATATTTGCTTAAAACCAGAATTCAGAGTAATATCTTAACAAATAAATTTTGAATTGGATGAAATTAAATTCAATGGTTTATGATAAAAATGGGTTGCAACTTCAGCTTTTGCTTTTAAGAATTGAAAATTTTGTTTCTGGTTGAAATGCATTACATTGTTTGTAAAGACAGTAAAATATTAATGCCGCTGAAACCTGACAAAGCTCAATTAGGCATTAAAGGATTTATAGATTTGATCTCCAAATCAGAAATTGGAAATGTTTCCTAGAGAAAAACCATTTTGCGAAAGAGAAATGGGAACTCATAAAACAAATGTGCATGTTTATACATTAGATCATAATATCCTTCTTAGTCTCCGCTGCAATAAATTTTATCTATTATCACACTTTAACAACAACACCCCCACCTAGTCTAAAAACTAAAGCAAATTCATAGTCAATAAAGTTGAGGAAAGAACACATAACACCCAATAAAAACGAGTATAAGTCTGTCATGTCCCATCAAAAACCACAACTTTTATTTGTAAATAGTGGATTAGCAACGCCACCTTTCACTGTTATCTTAGTTGCAAAAGGGGAAAAAAAAAATCCTGTGAAAATAAAGCTCCACATAAAGAATTTCCTAACGCCCCAAAAAAAAGGAAAAAAGAAGATGCACACCAAGTTGAAAACAAGCTGCTTCTTTTACCCTCAAGAATTATGTAGTAACATACCAGCACTGATATTGGCAGGAGGATCCTTTTGAATATCCTTGAGATACTTCAAGATCCTCTTTGCACTCGGCAATTCCTGTTTTTCATTCACACACATACACAACAACAACAACAACAACAATAACAATAATACCCAGATCTACCTTAAAAATATAAAGCAATTTAATAATTTTCCCCAAAAATTTAATTAAAAAAAAAACTTCAAAAAAGAAGTTCGTCAAATCAATTCCACAAGAATCTGCGTACGTAGACTAAGAGTCTGAAATTTTACCGTACGGAATTTTGATTCTCTTGCCGGCTTTAGGTAGATGGGGTGATCTGAGGAGAAGGATTTTAAGCCAATAATATTTCATACATTTTGCAAGCAGGGATTATAATATAGAATTAAGAAGAAATGTATTTATTCTCTAATCCTATATTCACCTTTAATACTTGAGGAGGCTATGAAAGAACTGTTACTTGAATTCCTTCTTCCATATTCAACATTTTGTTCTTCTCTTAGCAAACTCAGGGATAGATCTTCAATATCCAATGATACGGAAATGGAACTGGAGCTTGTGCTTCTTGAATCGGCTCGGGCCACTTCCCAATCCCGCTCTCGCTGCAGTACAGCTCCTACCAACCTCCCCCAGTTGTCATAATTCCTAGACATCTCTGTTTCAGCTTTAACAACTTCAAATAAACACAATGTTCAGCTATGGATATTGGTTGCCTGTACACATGGAAAATTTATACAGGTGCAGACACAATTTTCACATTCCATACATGGAACAAGAAGAACCTTTGGTAATCTTTGGTTTATATAGTTCCCGAAAACAAAATATAAACGCTGTGGTGCAGCACACAATTTACAGTTTAGACAGACAATTTCCTAGAAACCACGCTCGCAATTTCTTGTTTGATTGTAAAAGTAAGTTATTAGTGTGGAGAAATCAATATATATTCTTTGTCTTGATAACTAATAAATCAATACAAAGAAATTTTGAAGTCATTTTCAACATTTCTTTGTGTTAATCGCTTCATTTGATAAACAGTTAAAAACCATCTCAACTACAAATCAAATTTTCTTGTTTGAGCTGGTTTATATCGTTTTAAAAAAATATATCCAACAATGAATTTACAGCTTAGAAAAACATGGCTATGTTTGAGCTCCATTTTTATGTTAAAAAATAAAATAATAATAATAATAATAATAATAATAATAATAATAATAATAATAATAATAAAAAATAAAAGAGTTTTGTAGTAGTGAATGTTTGAAAATATGGTTAAAAAGTAGACAAATGTTTTGAGTTTACATGTAAATTATTTTATTGAAAAAGTGTTTGGATGTAAACGATTTTGAAAAAAAGTAAATTTTTAGAAATTAAGGCTCAATCAGGGACTATATATCCTAATTTCTCATATATATATATATATATATATATATATAAACATGTCTTAAATTTAAATAAAAAGGTTTCTTTTAAAATAACTTGTCAAAATAACTAATTTACGTCATAACTTTCACCAATTGTATTTTGAAATAGGGGGGCGAGAAAGCAAATGCGAAAGTAATTACAAACTTGATTATTGTATTGCAATGTGGAGATGACCTTAATTAATGTTGATTGGGGCATTATGATTAGTATAATCTAGTGATATATGACCATCTTCCTTGTATTCTTTTGGATATTTCGTCCCGTTGCTTAAATCAGTCTCGTTTTTATCAGCTTACTCAAATAATGTAATTTTACTTATTACATTTATCCATCATAATGTCTAGGATTATGTTCGGATGAGATCATTAACAAGTAATAATATAATAGGAAGAGTATTGTCACACGAGTAATAAACTTTTAAATGAATTCTGTCGACTCGTTACTGAACTTGAATTTAAAGTAACATGAGAAAGATTAATTATTTGTTTCTAAATTAATATACTAATTAACCAAAATATTTTTAAACTAAATATACAATGTATGTGTTGGAATTTCAAATCCACCTATTATTATCTTATTTTCAATTCTCGACTTATTTAATTTAGTGCGATTTATGCGTTCATAACAATTTATAATTCAATTATTTTAACTCTCCCTCTCTCAGGAGAAGTTTAACATATTCTAAGCATGATCCGATCAAAATCCAATGATATGGAATTGGAACTGGAGCTTGTGCTTCTTGAATCGGCTCAAACTACTTCTCCATCATGCTCTCGCTACAGCACAGCTCCCACCAATCTCTTCCATTTGCCATAATTCCTAGACATCTCTGTTTCAGCTTTAACAACTTCAAATAAATACAATGTTCAACTATGGATATTGTTTTGTTTTGATATGTAATAAATCCTAGACTATGATGTTAAATGTCGAAATATATTTTTTAGGCCTCGACCGATAAGTGAAATAATTATCAATAACCAAGTCCAAAGGCTTGACCCTGCCCATTTATATTACCTCGTGGATGACTTTGAATATTGATCCATTTAACCTTATTATCGGTCTTACTAAAGCCTAACCTGTTATACCCCACACGTTTATAGTCAAAGTCAAATAATACTACTTGTCAAAGTCAAATAAGGACTTAAGTTGAACAAACAATTTAATGGAGCTTAACTTGTAATTAATAATATGCAAAGGGCAATTAAAAAAAAATTTGGAATTTTTGGATTTAGTTCCCTAGTATTACAAATAAAGGGACTAAATGTTACATTGTCCAAAGATTGGGGACTTGGCTTATAATTACTCTATATCAATCCACTTTAAAAGTGTAAGGATTCTGATTTTTTTCTCATTTTAGAAGAAACGAATAGAAAAGAAAACAAAGCGGGGAAGGAGAGAGAAAGGTAGAAGGGAAAAAAAGGAAAAAAGAAGGAATGGTTTGTTGGAAGAAAGAGGAGTTTACTAACTTGGATTGGATAAGGCTTTTAAGGAGGACAATACTAATAGAAAGAAGGAAGTGAATAAAAGGAAGCTTGTATTTCTCAACTTCAAGACTTGCACACTTTTTTTTGGCCTGTTACAAAATGGAGGACACTAGCGCTTTATATATTGTTTACATTAAGCTTCTATTCCACACATTTTCTAGAGAATCCTATACCACATATTTATATAACACTCTTAGACCGCACATTGGACAAGATATTTTTCTAGAATACTCTAGATAGACTTTATAAGACCACATATTCTTCTTGACACATTGTCACATTTATCACCACATATTTTACTTAGATATTTACATGAATTTTTCTAGTAGATATTTATATACATTTTTCTAGATAATGTTTCTACAAATGCTAGACATGTTGGGCCTTTTAATTGATTTGGGCCTTATAGGCAAAGTCCTTAAGCCCATATTTTTAGTCCAAAAATCAAGTTTACTATTCAACATCCCCCTCTTAAACATGATTTTACTACTCCAACTAGAGTTCTTAACTTACGAAACACGTCATGCTTGAGTGACTTAGTGAGAATGTCGGCGATCCACTCCTGGGAGGTTACATGTTTCAGCTACACTTCTTTCTTTGCAATACTTTCTCTTATGAAGTGATATCTTGTATCAATGTGCTTGCTCCTATCATGGAATACTAGATTCTTTGCCAATGCCAATGCTGATTTGTTATTAACATGGATTTCAGTTGGCTCTTCTTGTGATACTCAAAGCATCTTCAACAAGTTTCTAAGCCAAATCGCATGGCAGAAACTTGCATGGCAGAAACTTGATGTAGCTACAACATATTCAGCTTCACATATAGATAGTGCTACGATCGATTGTTTCTTTGAGCTCCAAGTGAAAGCTGTGTCGCCCAAGTAAAACACATACCAGTCGTACTCTTTCTATCATCACTGTCTCCGCCCCAATCGCTGTCACTATATCCAACTAGTTTGAATTCATTAGATGATGAATAGACTAAGTCATAATCAAACGTACCTTTGACGTAGGGAAGAATTCTCTTTGCAGCTTTCATATGGGTCATGGTAGGTGTCTCCATATAGCGACTAATGAGCCTCACTCCAAAAAGGATAGCTGGTCTTGTGCACGTCAAGTATCTTAGACTTCCAACAAGACTCTTAAAAAGTGTTGGGTTTATTGTTCACCTTCATCATTCTTCGACAACTTGGTTCCGCATTCGATTGGGGTGCATACAGGCTTGCAATCCTCCATATTGAATTTCTTTAAAATTTCTTTCGCATATCCTGCTTGTGAGATAAGATGCAATCCTCCATTTGCTTTACGTCAATCCCAAGATAGTAGGTCATGAGACCGATATCCGTCATCTCGAATTCTTAAGCCATAACCTTCTTAAACTCAGTGATCATATTTTGATTATTTCTTGTGAATATATGATCATCTATAAACAAACAAGCAAGCAAAATATCTCCTTTCTCATTTCCTGTTTCAACTCATATAAAGCCTTTTTTAGTTTTAAGACTTTACTTTCATGTCCTTTTATCTTATAGCCAGTTGGTTGCTTCACATAGATTTCTTCTTCAAGATAACCGTTTAGAAAAGCCGATTTCATGTCCATTTGAAATATCTTCCACTTATTTTGCGCTGCAAAAATAGATAATTAATCTTATGGTTTCTAAACGAGCAACAGGAGCAAATACCTCTTCTAATTCGATTCCCGACTATTGGTTGTATCCTTTAGCAACCAATCTTGCTTTATATCTCTCCACTTCTCCTTTAGCATTTTTCTTTGCCTTGTACACCCACTTAACTCCAATTGCTCTCTTTCCTTTGGGAAGAGTCGTCAGCTCCCACGTGTCATTTTTCTCAATAGTCTTAATCTCTTCATCCATGGCATCTCTCCGTCTTTTATTTTGCACTACTTCTTCATACCCTATTGGCTTACAATCGGTAAAAAGACAAAAGAGTGTGAGATCATTTTGATTTTCTATTGTCTCATATAGCTCTTGTAGGATCTGCATCCGTGGTGTCCTTTTGCTTGAGCTTTTTCTTAGTGAAGATGATGGAGAAGCATCTCCATGAGTAGGTGATAGAGGTAGACTAATAATCTGTTGCTGCTCTCTATTCTCTTGTTCTTCTTCATCAAAGAATGGTAAGAAGTCGTTCTTGGACACCCCAATCCCAAGCTCCCTCTTCATCAAACTCGACATCTCTACTTATGATGATCTTCTCCTTGTTTGGATTATACAACTTGTAGTCTTTAGAGCGAGAGTCATAACCGATAAAAACATACCTTTCACTCTTATCATCTAGCTTGGACCATTTTTGATCTGGCACATGAGCATATGCAATGCTCCCAAATACTCGTAGGTGAGAGATACTGGGCTTTCTTCCACTCCATGCTTCTTGTGGTGTCTTATTCCACACACTTCTAGAAGGCGACCGATTAGACAGATACACGACATAATTAACAATCTCTTACTTTTAAGCATACGGAGGGCCATGTTAAGAATGGATCTATTCTTTCTTTCAGCTTTATCATTTTGTTGTGGAGAGTATGGAACCATCAATGGGCGATGAGTTCTATTCTCCTCACAATATTTCTCAAACTTTTTGGAGGTGAACTCTCCTCTTCTATTCGATCTCAAGGCTTTTATACTATATCCGCTTTCTTTTTCAACAAGAGCTTTAAACCTCTTAAAAGTTTCAAAAACTTCCAATTTTTGTTTGAGAAAATAGACCCAAGTGTTTCTGCTAAAATCATCAATAACAAGAACAAAGTAATTGCTCTTACTGAGAGAGCTGGATTAATTGGCCAACAAACATCGGAGTGTACAAATTCTAGCGGCTTCTTAGTTCTAGTAGAAGCTTCTTTTGGAAAACTTTTTCTCGAATGCTTTCCAAGTAAGCATCCTTCACATAATTGATCTGCATGATTTATTGGAGGCAAACCTTTCACCATCTTCTTCTTACTCAACAACTTTAAGCCTTCAAAATTAAGA